CCTGTAATGGTGACTGAGTTAAACCAGCTTTCTGTTAGCTCTGGTGGATTAGCTGTGGCAAACGTCTTCAGTTGGATTGAAACAAGTTGTAGACGTACAACCATTTATGAGGTCCACAGTGACGTGCTGGTGGGAGCACGGTGGGATCAGTGGTTAGCATTGATGCCTCACAGCAAGAAGGTCCTGGTTTCAACGCGTTGTTCAGATCTGGGGTCTGTCTGTGGGGTTTGTTCTCCTCGTGGTGGGGTTTCTCCAGGTACTCCACTGGATGGATTACCTGAGAGTCTTCCTCAGCTGGTTTGATGTGTGCAGAAGTAGAAGCAGTAGACGTGTCTGCAGACTGTTCATCAGTTCATATCAGAGTTCCATGTGATCCAGTTTCTTCTCAGACTCACTGAAGGAAGAGCCAGCATGGACCAGTAAACTCCCATTAGCAGGAAACCAAGTGGTGGATGTTAAAGTCAGACCTGTTCCCTGTCAGCCGGCAGCCTCTGAAACTCTAAAAACAAAAACACACAAAAGTTTGAATTCCTTCCCTCTGCTGCTGTTTTCTCCTCTGTGCTAAATGTCAGTCTGACCAGAGGTCATACATGGTGAACAGGTGACTGTTGATTAGCCTCCTGTTATAACTTCCATCACACATATAAGATAAAGATGCACAAAAAGGCCAGAGATGGATGCCGAGTCAGCAGGAGAGCGGACACAGACCCTGAGCTCACTGTGAAAGTGGGTTCATTAAATGTGACCTTTCTCCTGCTGAGCTGGTGCTGATGAGGCGGTGGCAGAGTAGAAACAGAATGACTGATGACCACAGCTCCTCACAGCATCACCTGTGTGCTGATGGAGAACAGCCCACCACCTCTGAGCTGCCTCACACTTCCCAAACAGGAAGTAGCTGCTCAGCTCTGTTGCAGCTGAAACTCTTCTTTTCCTGTTTTTAGCTCATTCGGGAGAGGGCCATTTGAGCTTTTTTTTTTACACTTTGCAAAACACTTTTTGATTTTATAAATATTTTCCTAACAGAAATCAATCGACATCTTTTCATTTCTTTCAAAACATTGTTTTTAAAACTTGCTCCTGCCTTTTTGATTACTTTTAGCTTTGCTAGTACCCTGGTACCTTTAGCTTACCTTTTCATACTTTTAGATTCTGGGTACTATTACTTTTAGCTTGCACTTTTTCACTTTAGCTAACTCTTTACTCKTTTAGGTAAACTATTGCTAAACTTACCATGCAGCTAGCTCTACAGTTTTTAAGCATTTGCATGTTTTAACCTTTGCTTTTTATCTTTTAGTCAGCCCTCTGTTATTTTTAGCTTTTTGCTAGTGTTCTGCTTCGGTGCATTCAGGTAGATTTTTGCTCTTTTTTTTTCAGCCAGCTTTTTGCTGGTTTAGCTTTTAGTTAACATGCTGCTTTTAGAATTTAACTACTATTCTACTAAAAGTAAAAAGAAATGTTGCTTTTAGGTTTTAGCTAGTGTTTTGCCTTTTTTTTTAGCTTTTATAACTTAGTTGCAGCCTCTTCCACAGAATGACTCAGATTTAGAGTCATACAGTGCTCAGCGTTCAGCTCATTTTGACAGAAAATCTCATGTTGTTGTACTCGTGAGTGAAGCAGTCAGACGTCCTGATGCAGCTCAATAATCCAGGTAGAAAGATCTAACAAAAGAAAGTCCTCTGGATGAGTTCTTCTTTGTTGAAAAAAAAGTTTTGTCACTTCTTCATTCTCCACTTGGTGGACAAACAGGTTTAATGGTGACCATCAAAGATGATATTTAATGTCTGAGGTGAAGAACTACGTTGACATTTTCACAACAGAAACTTTGTTTCTCATCTCTTAGTGAAYTGATTATTGGTTCAATCAGTTTATATAACCTTTATAGAAATTATTGCATGAGCTGAAGTTAAAAATAATAATCTGAGTTTAGTGATTTACAGACAGTCACTGGGCTGCAGCTAATAGAGACAAATAGCAGAGTTTCCAAAGGTCTCAAATGCTTGGTTTCCCTCTTCATAGAGTTTTAACGTGTCTGAAAATGATCAGTCAAGTTTTTTTTAATTCAATTAGTTCAAACGATATTGTTTTTGCTGATATCTGTGAAAACCAGTGAACTCYGTCAGTTTGATACACATTGAGCTAATGCTGTTTTACAGCTGTACTTGGCCTTCTGAGTCTAAAGCAGGGGTGGGCAATCCTGGTCCT